ATATATATATATATATATATATATATATATATATATAATGGCATTGTAGACTATATATATGATCTATTCATATGAAATTCACTTGTGAGTCAGATCAGTATATATGTAATCTGACAAATATCAACATATTAATTCTAGATATCCTTTATAACTCAGTTTATAAGAGCAACTATTTCCTTTCATAAAAAAAAAAATATAATATGCATCAATTTCAACAGTTTTAATTATAGTCTAGTCTTGATAGAACACTGATTAAAAATATTTATGAACAATGCTTTAATACAATAAGAATTTCATAATTATAATAACTTTATAATTTTCTATAAAAAAATATTTTTATTCTGCAGATTTTATTTTTATTCTAAATTCAATAATAAAATATTATATTAATTAATTAAATATAAATAAATATTATAGATAAAGAAAACATTTATTAATAATAAATGTGTTTTATATGAATAAAATCAGTATCATGTAGAATGATTGATTACATGATATATTCATTAACAATTATATATTAATTAATAATTTTTTTAATTTATGTCAGAATTCAAATCATGATAATATTTATTTATTTTCTATAACGCCTCTAATTAATTTTTTTTTTATAAAAAAATCTATTTTTAAAAGAGGATAATTTAGAAAAAGCATGAAAAAATGGCCACATGGTATACCAATTAATAACTTTCTTAATTTATATAAGAATTCAGAGACTTGACAATCTTTTTTAGCACAAGGAGACTGAATTAATTTTATTTGATTCAATTCCTTTTCCATGGGATGATACCAGCACCTCTGTTCTTCTTTTTCTTTTCATTTTTTTGTTCTTAAAGGAAGGAATCAGTTTGAATTTGCCTGCCTAAGCTAATCTTTTGAAAGTCAAAACAAAAACATCTTGTATTATGCCTACCCTACCTATCCCACATATGACATCTGTGACTTGCAACGTCAATAAAGAGGCAGTCTATACATTTTGGATTTAAATATTGTCTTTATAATTTTATTTTTCTTATTTTGTTTTGATTTATAATAAATATCGTTAATTTATATATATATATATATATATTTTTGATTTATAATAAATATCGTTGCTGCTAGGTTTCCAATAGCGTCACAATGGCATCGTCAATATTCAGACCGAGACAGAGATCCTTTTGAGGTTTGAAACAAATCCCTCATGTTTTGCGTCTTGTGCGTGTTTCCAGCTCTCCACAAATCCACTTCCCTTACAAGTTTACCTGATAAAGTAAACAAGAAAGAACTAGAAAGTAGAAAAGCAAGGCATCTCCCTCTCTCTCCTCCCTCGAAGACCACAAGTCGTACAAGAAAAAGAACCAATACATGAAAAAGGAGGAAATTTCCTTCTCAATCTTATAGAACACTGAAGCAGGGCTCCATTAGCTTTAGCAACCAATCTCTCTCCTCTCTCCTCCTCAGTTCAAGAACTGCATCAAGGATTAAGCAATGGCTGAGTTACTCATTTCCTCCATGATCCCCCCTTTCTCTCTCTCGCTTTCATATTCTAAACTTGAACTCCTTTTCTCTCGATATTTTAAGCTCGTGATATGAAACTTGCTAACTCGTCTTCTGGCTTATCTTGACAGATCTGATCCATATCCAAAAGACTCGTATTACAGAGAAAACATGACTACAAGAGGATCCTCTAGATCCTCCCCTTCAACGACCAGCGTGCACGTGACAGCCCTTGATGGCCTGGTGAATGTGAACTCTCTTTTTACAATCGCCGTCTTTGTTGGGCTCTCTCTTACAACCCCACATCAGCGCAGCCTCGAAAACCGCACATCCTGCGACGCAAGCATCGAAGTGGCCAAGAATCTACTAGTCTTCGAGGTTGTGTCCTTCAGTTTCTTCCTCTTCTCTTCTCTGGTCGCACAAGGCCTGAAACTGGCTATCAATTTGTTGAACAGTAAAGACGTGGATGACGCTTTTAGAGCACACATTAATTTGAAGGTTTTGAGGTTCGGGATGATGGGATCGGCTATTGGTTCGGTTATGGGTTGTGTATTTTTGATGCTGTCAATGATTAATGTGATTGAGATTAGGTTGGGGACGTTGTCTTGTGGGAGTAAGAGCACTGTTCATGCCGTCACTGCTTTGGTTCTTTTAGTTTCTTCTGCTCTCTTGTTTTATATTTCCACTGCTGTTTATGCTTTTCTCCACTGATAGATGGATTGTTTAGCTTTATGAAAGTGGGTATCAAGTTGTCAACTTTTAAAAGAAATTAAATTGTTGTGGTTGAGGAGAATTTCTCAATGTTTAGCACTTGCTTTGCTATTGATGAATGTTCCTTGCTGGGTGCTATGATAGTTGTGGGCATAGTTTGATGGGATAATTGATTCAAACTCAATGGCTTAAAGATCTTGATAACTCGAGGATTTTGCATCCATTTGAGGAAATAATGGTATTCTACTAGCTGGTACAAGTTTTCTGATTTTATTGAAATTACCTTCATCTTAGTTACTTGGTTAGCTCAATTTGATAGAAATTTCACATTTTAGATGAAAGAAAACTAGCTCAATCTACCAACACACAGTCAAATCTATCATTGTTAACCAGGTCTGATAACTTATTTAGTATTTTTGCCAACAATGTTAAGTCTAATCCTGTTCCTTGAGAAGTGTGGTACTAGTTAGACCATTGCTTTGCCCAATTTTGAACTGATTTTCGACTATGTGGCAGCTAGTCATGAGTTCATCTATAAGTCTTTCTATTGCTTTGCATAGATGGATCATGTGCAAAATTCAGTGCATACAGAAGGACTGAGGACAAACCGTTGCTACCGGCGCAAAATGAGCGAGATATTCTGAGAATCTTGCAGTTTATTTGATCCCCTTTCCTGGCTTCCAAGAACTAGCAAAGCTATATATGGGTATGCAATGTCTTCTAATCCCTTCACTTTTCTTCTCTGTTTATCAGATATACTAAAGCCAGGGAGACATGGAGAATAGAATCACAATTTATGAAAAACTGGATTGGATGTCACCCGCTGCTAAATCATGTGAGAAATCACTTTGAAACCTGACAAATATGTATTGTTTTCCGGAGATTAGTAGCTTTCCGAAGTCCCTTGCAAGGGAAGGGATGATTTTTTGTCTTATCCTTCTTTCAGCAACTTGCATGACTCTTCCTCAACTGTGTTATCAATGGTGACATGCGATGCGGGCTATGAATGCATATCTGCATTTTGCGCCCTAGCTTGTTTCAATCTTAAATATTGGAAGAAAAACAAAATCGTATCTTCTGCTCTAGACACTGCCATCACCGCGTTTTGATATTTCTTCTACAATCAGCCTCATGAAAGATGCAATGGAGAATGTAAACATTAAAGCTGTTCATTTCTTTTCTTTTTCATTTTTTTTTGGTTTGATGGTCAGAGTGATATCCTTGTGATAAACTTTAACGGAAACGAGATTACTATACTCTTAAGGTACATTTCGTTATTCACTTGAAAGCATAATTATCAATTTGCTTTTCCAAAAAAAAAAAAAATGTCAATATTCTTGGTGTTGTGGTGATTCGGTAATTTTCAAGGCCTGCAGATGATTAAATTACTTTCTTTTTAAAAAAATTTAAACCTTGCATCTAGGGTTATTTTCATCTTTTACCTTTTTTAAACACAATAAAATAACCCAATTATTTTTAAAAGCAAACTTTTTTAAATTTGCATCAATTTTTATTTTTGTATTTTTATTATGAATTTTTATAATTATTAAGTTGTTTAAGGATAACTTAATGTTTTTATAAATATAAAATATTATTTAATTTAAACATGGTGGAGCCAGCTGTCTCCTAAAAGCTAAAAATTTCTTTTTATCATGTGAGCCAGCTGTCTCCTAAAAGCTAAAAATTACTTTTTATCATGTTATTGAAATTATTGTCGTATTTTTTTTTTCTAAAAGCTAAAAATTACTTTTTATCATGATATTGAAATTATTGTCATATTTTTTTTCCTAATGAAACATAGTGTTGCAACACTAATGAGATGGTTTGTTATTTATAGTGGTTTTTTTTTTCTTCTCCTTTTAAAATTCAGACAATATCAAAGTTGTCTTTTTATTTATTGACATTTTAACTTTGATCTTTATGATTTTGATTTTTAGTTTTTATTCTTATCTCTTTTGTAAAATTTTTGTTTTCAATTTCATATTTCGATCATGATTTTTTATAATTTGGATCTTGTTCTTTTGATTTATTTTTTCAATATGACCCTTCATTACAAATCTAAAGTTTTTCTCTAATTTATTTTAATTTTAATTTTAATCCTCATTCTTTTATTGTTATTTTTGATTTTGGATTGTTTTGTATAATTGAATTTTTTTCCTGTAATATTTGATTTGTTAATAATTAGTACTTAAAAGTGCATTTTTATCAAGGTTTTATATCATCATTTTGTACTTGAAGTATTAATAACTCCTTAACTAAAACATTTTTTATAATAACATATATACTAATATAAGATATTTTTAATTTATAATAAATATTTATTTTAAATACAGGCTTCTCATATAAACGAAAAAATTGATTGATAAGTTTAAGTACTGAAATTGAAAGGACAAAGAGATGGCCAAATTTAGAAAAGAGATGCTGGTATAGTCCAAATTGAAACATTGTTCGGTATTTGCGTCATATCTAGAGTTGTAGATCTTATATTTAGATTTACTTTATATGGATGGAAAGGTAAGACATAGACCTATAATTTTTATGCGGAGGTCTGGTTTTAAAAAGGTCGTTTTCAAGTCCAAATTGTAGCAACAATGAAGAAGTCCGAATCTATCCTACAACCTAGACATTGTTCACTGTTCAGCCCATATCTTGAGTTCTAGAAGTCCAAATTACCTCAATTTTGTTTTCTGGAAAGCCGAGATAATTTCCTAGAACTTTCATGTGGAGGTCTGATTCAAATTCTGATGTTATCAATGATGTTTTATTCAGACAAGAGAAGATAAGGATTATCACCAAGTCAAGAGTTGACTACTCACTCGTCAATTAATCATCAAATCAATGATTTTCAATTTTGGCCTATAAAAGGAGTCATTTTCCATGCATTTAAGCATCTTGGTTTCCATATTAGGATCATGCTCTTGCTTTCTTTTTTTGTATTTTTGTAATACTTAATTTTTCATTTCATTAATATCTTGTCTATACCTTTCATTTCTTTTCCTTTACTTAGTTAATTTTTATCTTATTTATGTTCTTATCTTGTTTATTTATGTTTCTCTCTTTCATTATGTTTAGCTAAGTTACACTAATGATGTAAGAATAACTATCCTTTCATTATGTCTAGCTAAGTTAGTTATGTCAAGGTGAAAAGGTTACACTAATGGTGTAAGAATAAGTATAATGTAAACTTAATATGGACTTTAATGTTTGATACTAACATGTTTTGTATTTGTTATCTTGTTCACTCTTTAATACTTTGCTTGTTAAATGACTAATCTTGATTTATGTTGTATAACACTTGGTACAACAAATGCTTGGCACTTTCATAGCCCATAATGTATGGTATAACCGACACCTGAGCTATGAAAGGAACTTGATTTGTTGTTAACATAAGTTATAATCATGAATGCCTGACGAGATTTACAAATATTAACATTAATTGAATAAGATCACTAATGTAATCATGTTAATAATTTATAATCTGATTGGAACCTCCTTTATGTGTGGTTTCCATTTGAGTAATAAGAGTTTATACTATACTTGTTTGAAATACCATTAATGGATCCTTTAACCTTGACATTTGTTGTTATTATTATTTAATCCTTACATTGATCTTCCATTTTAAAGTTATTATGAACTTCTTCTTCTTCTTCTATTACTACTACTACTACTATTACTACTATTACTATTCCTATTGCTATTGCTATTATTATTGTTATTATTATTATTCTTGTTGTTGTCGTTGTATTATTGTTATTTATAATTTATACAATTAACCTCCTTATGGTTCAATCCTAGTCATGTCAGGTTATTTATTACTTTGACACTCTTATACTTGGGAGAACACATCAATCTTTTGGTCGTGTCAAGTTTTTAGCACTGTTGCTTGGGAGGTAAATCCTTATATAAATTATAATATTTATTTTATTTTCTCTTTTCTCTTTTCTTGTACCTAACTTTGTTTCTTTTTCTTTTATTTTCTTCTTCTTTTTATTCTCTTTTTACACGTGCATGAGAGTATGATCATGTACATTAAGTGGTAGACTTTGTAGGGTATCCTCATCATTTTCAAAAAATATGGCCGAAGAAGATAACCAATCACTTCTTAATGAGAATAATAGGAATAACCATGTTAAAAAACTTAGAGACCACATGAATCCTACAAGAATAAGTGCACCCTCATGCATAGTTTCCCCCTTGATGCATCTCGTTTTCATTTTAAGCCAGGTATTATTAAACTTTTACCTTCTTTCATGGCTTAGATTTAGAAAATTCATGCTTGCATTTAAGAGAATTTGAGGAGGTCTGTAACACCTATAATGACTTAAATTATAGCATGAACACCATCAGATTAAAGCTTTTTTATTTTTCACTAAAAGATAAAGCTAAAACATGGCTACAAAATTTGAGACCTACATCCTTTTGTTCTTGGGTCATATGCAACAACAGTTTGTAAAGAAGTTTTTCCCTTTTTACTAACCAATGACTGTCCAACCTTGCCTTTTTTAAGAAATGTCTACATGAATAAGCTCATGTTTTAAGCAGTTTTCAAAGGCCCAACCACAACCCATACTCGCAAACATACAACCCTGGTTGGAGAAATCACCAAAATTGTAGTTGGAAGAGTGATAATAACAATGTAAAAACTTCACAGCCATCGTTTCAAGCACACCATAATTTTCAAAATTCTCATGGATATTCACCTCCTTATGCTCCACTTTCTAGAAGAAATCTTGATGAAACATTGCATGCATTTATTGAAAAGTAAAAGAAAATCAATACTTAACTTGGTCAAAAGATGATAGATTTTAAAGATACTCTTGCAAAATTGACATCTGCTCTCAGTTTCCAAGAGAAAGGTAAGTTTCCATCTCAACCACAACAAAATCCCAAATGGCAATACAATGCAAATGCAAGTAGTTCCGGAAGCCAACACATGGATCAAGTCAAATCAGTCACTACTCTGCGCAGTGGTAAGGTTATTGAAAAACCCTCTCTTGAACCTTATAAGAAAGATGATGAGTCAATCTCTGAGGGTAAGAAAGGGGTTGAATCTGAAAATTGCAAAGAAACGACTGATTCACCACTAGCACTCCCATTTCCTCATGTCATGACCAAACAAAGAAAAGTCAATCACAATTCTGAAATTTATGAAATTTTCAAACAGGTAAGGATCAATATACCTTTGCTGGATGCAATTAAACAGGTTCCTTCCTATGCTAAATTTTTGAAAGATCTATGCACTGTGAAGAGGAAACTGAATGTGAAAAAGAAAGCCTTTCTAGCCGAACAAGTAAGTGCTATTCTTCAAAACAATAATGCTTTGAAATATAAAGACCCTGGTTGTCCTACAATTTCCTGCTTTATTGGAGAGCATAAAATTGAAAGAGCCTTACTTGATCTTGGTGCTAGTGTGAATTTACTTCCATATTCAGTTTTTCAGAGTCTCAATCTAGGTGAGTTAAAACCAACTTCTATATCTCTTTTACTTGCCGATAGATCTGTAAAAGTGTCTAGAGGAATAATTGAAGATGTGTTAGTACAAGTCGATGAATTTATTTATCATATAGATTTTATTATTTTGGACACACAACTTATTAAAGCATGTAATTCATTTCTTGTTATTTTAGGACATTTGTTTCTTGCAACTTCTAATGCATTGATTAATTATAGGAATGGACTGATGAAGCTACCATTTGGAAATACAGCTATCATTTGGAAACATGACATTGGAGATGAATATTTTCAACATTTGCAAGCAACCTGGAGATGATAATGATTTACAAGAAGTAGATCATATTGACGAATTAGTTTATGATCAACTTGAATCTACTTTAAATAAAAATAAATTTGATAAATCTGAAGATTTGCAAATGATTCATTCCCAGGAAGAAATCACAGATAAAAAAGGCACAAAAATTGTTTGTCAAGAGTGACAATAGATTCGACATCCAACAACACACCAATCGATGATTACTTTCCTAACGAATCCTTAATTTCTCTTAGTTCAATGCCTTGGTTTGTTAAAAATATTATTTTTCTTGCTTTAAGAGATTTGCCAACTCACTAGAGTACCGAAGACAAAAGAAAGTTTTTGAGCGACGTTCAAAACTTTTATTAGGATGAGCCATACTTATTCAAATATTATCCTCATCAAATGTTTCAAAGATGCATTCCTGACAATGAGGTAAGTAGTGTCATTAATTTTTATCATTTTGAGACATGTGAGAGTCATTTCTCGTAAAAAAAAAGACTAGAAAAATCTTACAATGTGGATTTTATTGGTCTATCATGTTCAAAGACACAAATGTGTTATGTAAAGTTTGAGAAA